TGTCTACCTTCTTCCTTAACCGAGGATTCCCCAGCTCTGTTGTTGACAGGCCCCTCAACTGGGTCCGACCCATCACCCGCACTTCCGCCCTCACCCTTTCTCTTCCTTCCTGCAACAGCGTTAGGGGTCCCCTTGTCCTTACCTGTCATCCAACCAGCATCCACATCCAGAAGATCATCAGATGCCACTTCTGCCACCTCCAGTGAGGTGCCACCACTAGACACATATTCCCCTCCCCTCCCTTGTCCGCTTTCCGCACGGACCGTTCCCTCCGGGACACCCTGGTCCACACTTCCTTCACCCCCAACACCTCCCCACAGCCCTACGGCATGTTCCCCTGTGCGAAGGTGCAACACCTGCCCATTTATCTCCTCCCTCCCCAGTATCCAAGAGCCCAAACGTACCTTCCACGTGAAGCAACACTTCGCCTGCACTTCCCAGAATCTAGTCTACTGCTTTCGCTGCTCACAATGTGGCCTCCTCTATATTGGGGAAACGAAGTGTAGACTGGGTGACCACTTCACAGAATATCTACATTCTGCTTGCAAAAAAGACCCTGAGCTACCTGTTCCCTGCCACTTTAACACACCACCCTGTTTCCTGGCTAACATCTCTGTCTCTGGTTTGCTGCAGTGTTCCAGTGAAACTCAACACAAGCTGAAAGAACAACACCTCATTTTCCGCTTGGGGACCCTACAGCCCTCCGGACTCAATATGAAGTTCAATAATTTTAATGCCTAAACTCTCCCATGTCCCAGCCCCCCACCCCACACACCAGGCCTTGTTATCACATAGCCTGCCATTACACACCCCCTGTTGTTAGTCACTAACAGTCCCCATTAACAACTACTCACCGTCCCAGCCTGATCGTTAGCAACTCCTTTGTCTGTCCAACTGATCTTATATCTCTTTAGGCTCTATTCTATCGTTTACTCCCTACCCCACTCCCCTTTCTATTTTCTGCATATAAACTGACGTTTTCCCAGCCATCATCAGTTCTGAGGAAGGGTCACCGGACCCAAAAGTTAACTCCGATATTTTCTTCACAGATGCTGCCAGACCTGCTGAGCTTTTCTAGCAACTTCTGTTTTTGTTCATGATTTACACCATCCGCAGTTCTTTTGGTTTTTATGAAGTGATTAGCAGACTGCAGGGAAGTCTGTAATTCTGTGGGTATATTGACAACAACCTGGACCCACAGCATTAGGCTTAACCTTCGACGGTCAGGATTTCTTCCTTATTTCTAGTTCTCACTCCTACCTGTCCTTGTTTACTGTATCAGTTACTTCCCAGAATTCAAATGTTCAATTAAATCCAAACACCTCAAGGTGATGAGAAATAGAAAGTAACAATAAAGAGTATCAAATAATTAATAAGCCCCCTGCACTTTGAAATGTGCAAGTCAGCTTTGTGCTTCAGTCCCTCATCAACTGAATTTACTGAATCCAGCATTTTGAAAGTGTCTAAGTGGTGCTGGCCAGATTACAGTGGTTAGTTTGTTCACCAGATCAACACCAGGCACCTGCACAGACACACAGTATCACTCCAAGCATGGGTCTGTAAACAATTGTTTAAAGTTCCAGAAAGCTAGTTTACCAGCCTGTCTGACCAGAATAATACACCCCACTTGACTTTGTTTCTGAAGCTGAGCAATCAGATGTGGAACAGGAGTGTCAGCAGCACAAAGGCTGTGTGCTGTGATGTTAGAATTTCATAACCTGCAGTAGATTTTGAAGCGCTCTTGTGGTCTGAGTGAAAAGAAGGATCCCAATGTATCATGAGAACAACAGCACAGTGAATGGCTGTGATGGAGTTAACATTGTGTCTATCTGTGCAGTATTCAATTTTAAATCTGTACTCGCTCAGCCAGTGGAACAAACGTAATAATAGAAATGAACCTGATCTCGGGTATTAGGTTCACAGGCAAATCAGCCCTGAAACATAATATTGCCCACAAGACAACTTTGAATTCAGATTGCACTTATCATTTGAGGTGTATGTGAGTGTCCTTATGGGAGGGGTACAGGGGGCAATAAATGTTAGTTCAGAAACTTAAACTTTATTCGAACTTCTCTAATTCCCTAAAAACTCTCAGTGTGCAAACAAATGACTTGGAAATCACAACACAAAGGAGACTCACTGATTCTATGGCTGGTATGTTTTCAATGAGAGGTCCTTGTTTTCTACTTCGTCAATTACCCCATTTAAATTCTTATTCTCAACCAGTGAATATCCTTTCAAACGAAGTAATCCTATCCTCTCAATCTCAATCCACATGTGGAAAAGTGTTGAATGTTCTAACCACCTCGTTTGTGAAAAATTTTCTTTAACTCACAATGTTCTGCAATCAACTGAAATGAGATAAATGGCCAATAAATTTCAGTGAAGTTAGTTGAAGAACACATTTGGCCTGAGCTCCAGAATTCCTTTGTTCTTCCCCGATGATGCTGTGGAACATTCTAGATCACCCTGAGAGAATGTAAGAACAGGATACTGCAACTGAATGCTGACGGCATCCCAAATAAGACCAGAAGTCCATAAGACACAGGAGTAGATTTAAAGTTTTGGCAAAGATTTGTAGCTCGGGTTGTGGATGAGGTTGTTGACTTGCTCGCCGAGCTGGCTTGTTTTTGTTCAGATGTTTCGTCACTGTGCTAGGTGACATCATCAGTGGAACCTCCGATGAAACGATGTTATTCTACTCCTCTTGGAATTTATACTGTCCGGTCCGTTATGGTGAGTATGATCAGAGGTTTAGATAGAGTGGACAGCCAGAGACTTTTTCCTCGGGTGGAGGTAGCTATTATGAGGGGGCATAGTTTTAAAGTGAGTGGAGGTAGATATAGGAGAGACGTCACAGGTAGGTTCTTTACTCAGAGAGTGGTAGGGGCATGGAATGCATTGCCGGAGAGGGTAGTGGGGTCGGCCTTATTAGGGGCATTTAAGTGGCTATTAGATAGGCATATGGATGATAGTATAAGGTAGGGGTGGAGGTTAGATAGACCTTAGGTTTAGGGTAAAAGTTCAGCACAACATCGTGGGCCGAAGGGCTTGTACTGTGCTGTACTGTTCTATGTTCTATGAGTACTGTCATTTCCGGTTTTGATCTGTATGGGTTTATATATGGGCTCCGATTCTATATGTTTGTTGATTGCATTATGGGTGGAGAACCATGCCTCTAGGGAATTCCTGTGCGTGTCTATGTTTGGCTTGGGCCACTAATGGTTATTTTGTCCCAGTTAAACTGATGGTGTTGTCTGAATGCACTGACATTAAGGAGAGTTTATCGTGCCATTTTGCTGCTAGTTGATATTTGTGGATTCTGATGGCTAGTTTCCTTCCTGTCTGTCCAATGTGATATTTGTGGAAGCCATTGCATGGTATGTTGTAAACCATGTTGTGGGAATGGGGTCTTCAATCCTGGTGAGTGTTTGTCGTAGAGTGGCTGTGAGCTTGTGGGCCACCATGATTCCTCATGGTCTTAGGAGTCTTGTTGTCAGTTCTGATATGTTCCTGATGTAGGGAAGTGTGGTCAGTGTGTTTGGGCGTACTGCGTCCTCCTGTTGTTGCTTGTTTTGTAGGCATCTGTGGATGCAGTTGCGGGGATATTCGTTTAAAGCAAGGAAGAACACTTATACAAGATCCTTGCTTTAAATGGATATCCCCGCAACTTACTAAAATTTTTAGTTTAGAAAGGCATCATGTATGGGTGAAATCTTGGTGTACTGCAAGGCCTGTTCCTTTGCTGTACTGTTCTTTCTTCTTTCTGTGATAGATTTCTGATCATCGGTAGCATACAGGGTTATAGGGATAGGGTGAGTAAAAGGCACTGAAGCGTTCAATTAATCATTGATGATTATATTACACGGTGGGGTAGGCAAAACAGGCCAAATGGCCTACTTCTGTTTCTGTTTTTCTACTCTCCTATGTTCATAAAGTTAGAACATAACAAATAGGAACAGAGGTAGGCCATTCTGTCCCTCAAACCTGCCCTGCCATTCAAAAAGATTATGGCTGGTCTGTCCCAGGCCTGAACTCCACTTATGTGCCAGCTCCTCATAGCCTTAACTCCAAAAATCTCCAGGTAGAGCTCTGAGAGAAAAAGGTTCTTTAACTTCTTAGTTTTAAATAAATGCTCCATTATACCGTAACTATGTCCCCTAGTTCAAGACCCCTGCATTGGTGGAAACATCTTTTCATCATCTACCCTGCCAAGTCTCTTCAGAATCGTGTATATTTCATTCAGAAAAATCCTTATTTGTCAGGACTTCAATGAATGAAGATCTAACCAGTTTAGTTGTTCTTGATAAGTCAAACCCTTCATCCCAGGAATCAGCCTAATAAGTCTCTTTTCAATTGTCTCCACTGACAATCCATCCTTTCTTAAATACAGGGACCAAAGCCGTACACCAGTTGCAATCTCATCAACACCCTTTACAGTTGTAACAAGACTTCCCTGTTTTTTTAAGCTCCAACCCCCTATCAACAAAGGCCAAACTTCCGTTTCCTTTCTTAATTACTTGTTATTACCTGTCTGCTAACATTTTGTGTTTCATGTACGAGAACACCCAGCTCCCTTGATTTCCAACGCACTACCCCGGTGAGGTGTAACAAATTTAAGCTTAACAGTTGCACCTTATCAATTCTTTAGCCATTTACATTGCGCTTATTTCTTAACTTAATTTGACCTGAGCCTTTATCTCCGTTTTATTTGCAAGCAATTCTTATTTCAGTCTGAAGGAGAAATTGAGGATATGGAGAAAAGCAGAAGAGGCATTGAACAATGGACTGAGAGAGGATTGAAGGAAACCAAATAAGACACAAGATAAAGCCAATGGCCTCACAAAAGCTATGGTCACAACAAACACATGAATGTTATTTCCACCAGCTCTCTCTCCAACAACTTTACTTGATTAAGAACTACATTTTATACCATTTTTCATCCAAATCTTTTTACTTCTCATTGTATACCTGTGAAAAATGGCACATATTGAACTTACCATCTGAGGAGTAGGCAGAGTTACTGACAGCCACAGTCAGAAAGAACCAAGTGGCCCAGATGGCAGCCATTACTCAATCCAGAATTACCTACAAGAAGAAAAAATATTGAATGACTAAGGTGAATGTCACATCTTCCTTATTTTGTCCAACCTGGCTATTCTTTATTCTGCTGTTGTTCCAGAGAGCACCATCATAATTCCAGCAACATTCCTAAATTTTGAAGTACAAAATAACCACTGTCAATGTCCATAACTCAAGCATGGAGACAATAGCTTCTGTACCTCATCAAGGCAAGATCAACTAGGGAAACCAGGTAACTTTACGAATTATACTCCAAGGACAGATGTAGCATGGGGTTAGATACAGAGTAAAGTTTCCTTGACATTGTCCTCATCAAACACTTCCAGGACAGGGACATCACAGGGTTAGATACAGAGTAAAGCTCCATCTGCATTGTTCTCATCAAAAACTCCCAGGCCAAAGACAGCATGGGGTTAGATACAAAGTAAAGCTCCCTCTACTGTTCTAACGTGAAAGTAAGACTCCTTCCACACTGTCCCCATCAAGCGCTCCCAGGACAGGGAAAGCACAAGGTTAGATACAGTCTAAAACTATCTCAGTCAGATTAATCCCTAGGATAGTGGGATCGTTCTCTGAGGATTGAAGAATCTGAGGTGATCTCACTGCTATTTTATTAAGTGCTGTATGGTGTGACAGGGTGGATGTAAATAGAATGTCTCCCTGGTGCTGACTCTAGAACAACGGAGCATCACCTCAGGGTAAGGTGCAGGTCATTTTGGCCTGACCTGAGGAGGAATTTCTTCAGTCAGAGGGTGGTGAACCCTTGGAATTCTCTATCCCCAGAAAACTATGGAGCTGAATCATCGAGTAGATACAAGACAGGTTTCTAGATATCAAGGGACATGGGTGGGAACAGTGAGAGAACACAGTGTAGATCTAGATGATCAGCCATGATCCATTTGTATTATGGAGCAAGTTTGATGGCTTGAATGGCCTCCTCCCCATCCAGTGATCTATCCCCTATTAGACTGCTTCCTCATGTTCTGGATTTCGTAGTCAACTGCCATATCTGTCAAGATGCTTCTTGAGATTTATTTATTTGTCACATGTACTAAGTGTAGGAATACATAAGTACAGCGAAATGTGCACAAAGTTATCATTCACTGGCCTCCACTCGTTTACAAAAACCAGAATTAAAAAACGTAATAGAGCCAAAAGCTAATCAAGGAAAAAAAAAAGTCCAGATCTCAAGAGTCCCAAGTCCCATCTCCACAATAGTCCAAGCACTGCTCCAATCGCTAGGCCGCCGTCGCTGCCTCACCGGCCCCTCTCTCACCGCCACCGCCTCACCGGCCCCTCTCTCACTGCTACCCCTCACCGGCCCCACTCTCACTGCGACCGCCTCACCGGCCCCTCTCTCACTGCCACCGCCTCACCGGCCCCTCTCTCACTGCTACCCCCTCACCGGCCCCGCTCTCACTGCCACCGCCTCACCGGCCCGTCTCTCACTGCTACCGCCTCACCCGCCCCGCTCCCCCCCC